AGAGAGAAAGAAAAGAGAGAAAAAAAATATGCACACACTCACTCACTCGCACGCACGCACACACAGACCCGCTTCTGCTGGGCGCGCGCGGGGCCGGGGATGCGAGGAGGAGGAGGGGAGCGCCGCGCGGCCGGCCCCTCCCCGCCGCCGCCGCCGCCGCACGCGCGCCCTGCGCCCGGGACACTCCGGCCCCCCTTCCTTCCCTCCCTCCCTCCCTCCCTCCTCCCCGCCGCCCGCCTTCCTCCCTCCCACCCCCACGCGCCCGCTTTTAAGGTGGAGCCCGGGCCCCCCGCCCGCCCCCTTTACCCTGCGCTCTCGCTCACTCTGGCTCGCTCCGGCCCCCCCTTACAACTCCCGCGCGCTTTTTAAGGAGGCGCCGCGGAGTTGGCGCCGGGGCGGGGGCGGGGGAAAAGCGGCGGGCGGGGGAGGGGGAGGGGAGTGCCGGGGGGAGGGGAGAGGGGGCGGGGAGGGGAGAGGGGGCGGGCAGGGCGGGCGGGCGGTGCTCGGCCGCCCTCCAGCCATTGGGCGCGGGACCCAGACGTCCCCGGCGCCCAGCCCCCCTCTCCACGCCTCCCCGGCGCGCTCCGCTCTCGGGACCGCACTTACCGGGAACTCGCCGCCCGCGGGCCGGGGCCGCCGCGCTCGCAGGGTGCTGCGGGAACCCTCTTGCTGCCGCCGCCCCCGCGTCCCTCCGGCGCGCCTGGCCCGGCGCTGAGGATGCGGAGAGGGGGCCGCGCACCCTCTCCCCTCCTCTACTCCCCCTGCCAGTGCCGCCCCCGCTGCCGCTCGGCCTCCTGGCGCGCCGGCCCCAGCGCCTCCCTAGAGCGCCCTCTCGGTCCCGGGCTGGACGCCGAGGGGGCGCGCCGCAGATTTGGGGACCCCGAAGCTGGGGTCAAAGGTCAGTTTGACGCTGGTTTCTCCTACTGGGCCGAAGGAGTGCCGGAATTTCAGCTAAACCCTGTTTACAAGGACTCCAGGACAGGACCTGATTGGCCTGCACGCTGGGGTCCGAAATTCCCTTTCCAGCCCCTGGGGGTGTGTGGGTGGGTGATCGAAGTCGAGAACACCAGCGACACTTTTTTTTTAAACAAAACTTTATTGGTAATAGTTTTCAAATATGTTTACAACAGCACACTGTTCAAGAGGAAGTCTCGTCCTTCGCAGCACACAGGTTGAATCGCCCCCGAACCCACCCGGGGCCCCGTCCCAGGCCTGAGAACTCCTCCTGGGATGGGGAGAAGTTATGAGAGCGGGAAATAAGGGGAAGAACGGGGTAGCTCCCAAGGGGCTGCCCACTTTTCTATTAAGAGAGAAAAATGCACAAATGAGACTGGGGGGAGACGTGATGGACAGCTGACAGCTAAGCCGGAGGAGGAGGACCCAGGATGGCAGAGGCAGAAGCTGGTGGGTGAGTAAAACAGGCAGCCCCTCCCCAGCTGCTCTAGCCTTGAACCCCGGGCCAAGACGTGGGGGCACTTGGCCTCTTCCGTGTCCTTTTGCAGGTATGCCCTCCCCACTGAGCTGAGGGAAAGCTGGACATTAAAATCTAGCGGAGAATAAAATTAAGGAGTTGGGGGGAAATTGCTACTGGGAGGAAAGACTTGGGCTTGGGGCTCCCCCTCTGTCTTTTTGGGGGATGACTCCTCTTTGGCAGGGAGAGGGACAGCTGCTTTGTCTGGCTCTCAAAGCCCAAGGGTAAAGACAGGTCTGTTGGGGAAGAGGAGAGCTGAGGATTCCTAAAGGGGACTAGACCCTCGCAGGATTGGCAGAGAGGATCCCCCAGGGAGGGGCCCGGAGGAAATTAGCAGCTCAGCGGGGAGGTTCAAACCCCAGCGCCTCCCTTTCCAAAGTCAGTCTGCTTCTCATTAAAATGGATTGGGGAATGGGGGGACATGGGAGGGGTGGGAGTAGAGAAGGGAGGAAGGGAGGCACTGGTGGAACTTAAATAGGATTTTAAATCGTTTTTTAAAAATTCTAGCAAGCAGCCCACTAAACATGTCACTAAAAATCTCTCCTTCCCAGGCAGGATTACTACAAAGGGAAAGTTGGCGCTTCGTTCATTTGCCCTTAGCAAGTGGTGCCTGTGGTTGGGTGGGATGGGGGTGTGGGTGGGGGCTGGAGTTGAGTTTGAGCCCCTTTCCACACCCTGTGCCTGGATACACCAGCAAGACCTGGTCTGACTGGAGTTGAGGAACTCGTTTAAAACAGGCAGAAGTGGGCTGGGGTAGGGGGCTGTGGGGAAGGAGGAAGGGAAAAATGGGAGAGGGGGGCAGGAGGACGAAGGGGGATGAGGGGGAGCAGCTGGTGTTTCTGTCCCTCCGATTATCTGGGCTTCCTGCTCCCCCTAACCCTGGAGGGTGGCGTGGGGGTGAAATAGATACAAGGAACTCTGGGGCCCTCTGGCTGTTCAGTCCAACCCTGACACCCACCCACCCCTCACCCACCCACCAAAGAGAAAAAAGAAAAAAGGAAAGAAATGAAAACCCATGGGGGCACAGGCAAACCCCTAAAACTCATTAAACTCCTTGCCACACTTCTCATTGATGGAGACCCGGATTTCTTCTTCTTCATAGTCGTCAAAGTTACTTGTATCCCCAGGGCCTTTAAACTTTGGTATGAAGGGAGCTTCCACCTGGAGAGGGATCAAAAATCACCCAGACCTCAGCATTCAACATAATCATTATTACAACAATAAATGTGAATGGCCTAACATTCAAGAGATAGTTACTCTGACTCAAGCCTGTGCTTAGCATTAGCTTATGGATTCCTCTTAACAACCAGAAACCCTTAATATAGCCAGCTCATCAAAGGGGAAATTACTTCCCAGAGAGAGGCATCTTCTGCACAAGGTCATGGAATGGCCAAATGACACCAGAATTCCATTTCTAGACCCCACTGGCTCTAAGCACCCTACTGTGGTTGCTCCTGTACCTGTTCTCTTCCCTTTCTTTCTTTTTTTTTTTTTTTGTTTTGAGACAGAGTCTCTCTGTCATCCAGGCTGGAGTGCTTAGCTCACTGCAACCTTTGCCTCCCAGATTCAAGCAATTCTCCGGCTTCAGCCTCTTGAGTAGCTGGGATTATAAGCGCCCACCACCATGCCCAGCTAATTTTTGTGTTTTTAGTAGAGATGGGGTTTCACCATGTTGGTTAGGATGATCTTGAACTTCTGACCTCAGGTGATTCACCCACCCTGGTGTTCCAAAGTGCTGGGATGACAGGTGTGAGCCTCTGAGCCTGGCCCTCTTCCCTTTCTATCTCTCTATTGGCTGTCCTCCCTGACTCTTGGCCTGCCCCCAAATCTTCAGCAGGCTTAAGGAGGGGAGGCCCACCTTCCTCTGGTAGATGGCGATCCAGTCAGTCGTGGCAAACCACTTGTGGTTCTTGATATCGTTGACCCCATTCTTGAGGTTGCCAAAGCGCTTGGTGAGATCTACCTGCAGGAGGTTCCGCAGGAGGTCCTTCAAGTCAGAGCTGAAGTGGGAAGGGAACCGGACCTGGAGGAAGGGGTACAAGGACAGGGTGGGAAGCTGCTCTGGAACTTGGGGAGCCCAGGATGCTTCCTTCTCCATCCAACAGTCCTACTGGGTGGGCGCCTCCAAAGCTGAGTGCCTTCTGGCATCCTATAAAACAGCTCCTTGGGCCCACCCTGGAGTTTCTGATTTAGGAAGTCTGACACTGTGGCCTGAGAATATGCATTTCTTAAACAACTTTTTAAAAATTAAAGAGCTAGTTACTTTAAGAAGTTTTTGGCGGGCCGGGTGCGGTGGCTCAAGCCTGTAATCCCAGCACTTTGGGAGGCTGAGGCGGATGGATCACGAGGTCAAGAGATGGAGACCATCCTGGTCAACATGGTGAAACCCGGTCTCTACTACAAATACAAAAACATTAGCTGGGCATGGTGGCGCGTGCCTGTAATCCCAGCTACTCAGGAGGTTGAGGCAGGAGAATTGCCTGAACCCAGGAGGCGGAGGTTGCGGGGAGCCGAGATCGCGCCATTGCACTCCAGCCTGGGTACAACAGTGAAACTCCTTCTCAAAAAAAAA